AACAGTCCATAACTCCAGTTCCAGGGGATCTGATGCCCTCTTCTGACCTCTGGGGACACTGCACGACAGGGGTGCACTTACATACATGTAGGCAATACAGTCATACACATAAAAATAATAAATACAATTTAAAAAAGAAAAGCAAGCCGGGCATGATGGTGCATACCTTTAATCCCAGAACTCAGGAGTCAGAAGCAGGCTGATCTCTGTAAGTTCAAGGCCAGCCTGGTCTACATAGTGAGTTCCAGATCAGCTGGAGCTATAAGAAGACCCTGTCTCAAAGACAAAACCAAAAGAAACTGTTATACTAAGTGAAGTAACAAAGACTCAGAAAAAAAAAAAACCCACAACATATAGTCCCCCTCATGAACTAGAAACTGTTATACTAAGTGAAGTAACAAAGACTCAGAAAAAAAAAACCCCACAACATATAGTCCCCCTCGTATGTGGATCCTAGCATCAAATCCTTATAAGTGAGTATATATCCAGACATAACTATAGGAACCAGGATAATGAAAAAGAACCAGGGAGGTAAAGGAAAAGAACGAATCTGAAAGAGAACAGTAGGAATCAGGTATTAATAAGGGAGATATGGATAAATATGGGGTTATTTTAAGGGGGGGCGAAGATTATACAAGGAACCTAGGGGATTAAGGGAAAGAAGGAGCTCAAGTGAGGTGGGACCTAGGGGAAAGGTATTATTAGGGGAGAAATGGGAAAAATAGGGTACCTTAAACACAAGGAACCTAGGGGATTAAGGGAAAGAAGGAGCTCAAGAGAGGTGGGACCTAGGGGAAAGGTATTATTAGGGGAGAAATGGGAAAAATGGGGTAACTTAAATGGGGAAACTATGGTGGAAGGGTTAGACAATGTGAGAAAGAAATAATGCCCTAGTTTTAAAAAACCAGAGGGAACCACATTAGTCCAACAACCTACTGACAATTATACATATAAGCAGATCAAAGAATGTAATATATTTCTAGACAAGGTTAATCTGAGAGCATTTGGTCTTTGCCAAAGCTTTATCTACATGGCATATGGTAATTAAAGTACCAGACTGGTGGAACTAACCCTTCTTGGATGTTTAATTTGAGGCCTATGCTAATTTGGACAGAGGGACATAAAGGACAGTTTTACTCCTTTCCCTCATAGGTCGACTAAGTTCCAGGGGACTATCAGCATCTCTCAAAATGTCCTGTAACTGTGGTTAGTCACCTGTTCTCTTGATCAAGGAGGCTGTGGAGACCCCACCAGATGGATTGAACCAGTGTCCAGTCTACAAAGATGAGGGTCAACACAGAGGTAACATTTCCTCCATGCTTCCAAGCAAAGCCAGCCATTGTTGAGTAGGACCTTTGACTTATCTTCACTTAGGCAGAACTGGTAAAAGAAAGGAGCCAGGGGCTCCTCCCAAGCCCATGTGATCCCTGAGGAACAGATCCTCAAATGACCTTAAGTGTAAAAATAAATTGGTTGACAGGAGATACCTTCCTTTGAGTTGTTGGCCAGGGTGGCCCAAGAGACTCCCAGACAGTAACCCAGCATAGAACTGGGAAAACGAGCAGCAGACACCAATCTTATCTAAAGGAATATTGGAAACTGATTGCTGCTAGATGAGGAAGAGCTGATCTTCCTGAAACAAGGAACTCTACATAGGCTGAGTAGATTCAGCAGATGCACAAGCACTGGGGAATGGCTGGGGGTGCTGACAACACGGTGGACAGTAACAGGGATGACAGAGTGTATGAGGGGGAGGGGTAGGCTATGGGAGGGTGCCATTTGGGAAGTGGGTATATAGGTGAATAAGATTGTGTGGGATGTTCTGTATGAGCTACACACACACACACACACACAAATCAACAAATTAAAAAGAAAAGAGTCTACTGCTTAACTCCAGAGGCATCTTCTCTTCTGCACTGGCATGGCAGCCAGCTGGTAACTCACTCTGGCCAAAGATCTTTGGCTAATCAAGTCAATGCTATTCCACCAATGTGCAGGTCTTGCCTACTGCTGACTTCTCAGTCAAGATCTAGCATGCTGTCGCCTGTACTATGGGGTTTTCTGTATGAAATAATATATTTTAAAATGAAATGGAGATTTTTTTTAAAGGTTAAAACCTCATTCAATTTTATGTCCTACAGGGTTTATACTGAGTCAAATATTGTAGAACTGTATTAATTCAACTGTGAACCTGAAAATTTACAGCCACTTTTGAAAGAGATGTATCCTTGCTTTGGAAATTGTTACTGAATATGTTAAAGCTGTAATGAAATGCTTCTTCTAATCATGTGATTATTAAATAAAAATAATATTTTAGACAGAAAGAAAAGAATTATGTCCTAGTGAATATCAGCCTTTTGTGCTTTTATAAGGTGAGAGAGTTAATTTTGACATCATAGATTGTAGAAAAATAAGGAAGAGAGGGCCAGAGAGATGGCTCAGCTTGCTGCGCAAGCATGTGGGCCTGACTTCAACACCCAGAACTGATGTGAAGGTAGTGGAGAGAACCGACTCCATAAAGCTGCCCTCTGACCTGCATCCCTGTGCTGTGGGCGAGGCCTCCCTTTCCACATCATGCACCCTCACACACAGTAATTATAAATAAAAATTTGTAAAGACTGAGCATGTTTCCTACAATTATTCTTCTGGGATTGTCTGACAAGTTTTGAATGTTTGTTCTTGATGCTGTTTGTGGGGCTGGGGATTGAGCTAAGGCCCTGGGCATTCTAGGCAAGTGTTTCAGCACTGCTACATCATTAGACTTTTTTGTTTGTTTTGGGGTAGGGTCTTCCTGTGTAGTTCAGGCTGGCCCAGAACTCATGATCCTTCTGCCTCAGACTCCTGGATTCTAGGATTTCAGACATGCACCACCATGTTCACCTGTTTGATGTTTCTTCAAGGCAGGGAGAGTCTCACTAGCAGCCTAGACTGGCCTCAAAGTCCTAGACCTCAGCCTCCTGAGTGCTGGGATCAAGGCAAGCACCACTGTGCTCATCCAAATTGTGCAATTATTCATAAGTCCTGGGCACTACAAACTTCTCCTTTCCTTTTCTCCAAAGCCTTCGTTTATCATTAACATGGTTTGTGATTTAGGTACTCTATTTATTGTCAGTCTTTGTGTATGAGAATGTACACTCTACAAAGGCAGAGATTTTGATTATTTTGTTTACTGAGGGATTCCCAGAACTTAGAGGAGTGCCCGACACATAATGGACACTACAGAAATGCCTGCTGAATAACCGACCATATAGGAAAAAAAGCAATATGGCTTCACTTAGTCCCACTGTGAAAAATCAAAAGTTAGCACAGCTGTGTGCTGTCACAGGAGGTGCTTACAAATCCCATCCTGTGCCCTGCATGTGACTTTTCTTTCTTTTTGTATATGTGTGTGCATGTTCCTGTGGTGTAGGCATGTGCATGTGTTTGTGTGTGCTTGTGTGTGTGTGCCCCATGTATATGCATGGGTGTGTGGGTGTGTATAGAGGCCAGTGGTTGATACTGGGTGTCTTCTTCAACCAGTCTCCTCAAATTTTGAGACACAGCCCGTCATGTACCAGAATTCATCAGTTCATGTACACTGGCTGGCCAGCAAGCTCCAGAGAGCCTCATATGTTTGCCTTCCCAGAGCTGGGATTGCACATGTACATGCCATCCCCAGCCTGGCATTTTTATGCTGATGCTGGGGATAACAGTACCCCATGATTACACAGCAGGTGCTTTAGCTGCTGAGCCACCCCTACAGTCCCCACATGTGAATCTTCTAGCAGCCTACACTTACAGAGCCTTCTTCAGGGTCATAGAGCCTCTGCAGAAGCTGGACTGTTGTACTCTTCCTGCCCCCGCTGGGACCAACCAAAGCTACTGTCTCTCCAGACTTTAATCTTGAGATTCAGACCTTTCAGAATCTCTTATGCGTGTGAGAAATCATACAGTTAGGAATGCTAGACCACAATGTACATGTTTTCAGAAAGTTAATGGTATAATTATAAATAGAAAACTTTAAAAAATTTATTTAATAACCACATGATTAGAAGAAGTATTTAATTACAGCTTTAACATACTCAATATCAATTTCCAGAGCAAAGCTACATCTCTTTCAGAAGTGGCTGTAAATTTTTAGGTTCACAGTTGAATTAATACAGTTATACAATATTGAAGTCAGTGTAAACCCTGTAAGATATAAAATTGAATGAGTTTTTAATCTTTAAAAAGATCTCCATTTCACTTTAAAATATACTGATAAAAAGAAAACTTTTATGTGGCACTTAAAAGCAAATTCAGTCTTCCATTTATTTCATTTCTATGTATAATTATACAATTTGGTAATATGATATTAAAATTTTTCTCATTGTTTCCTATACAAAGAGGAGATCTAAATTAGGGGTTAACTAGCTACAGAGGATTGTTCATGTATTTTTCTTTTCTATTAGCACATACTAATTGTACAAAAGAATGGATTTCATTATGGCATTTACATGCATATATATATATATATAATGTATAATGATCACTTTCATTTTCCATTGCCCCCTCTTTCCTCCATTTCTTCTTGGTCTCCTTCCTCTTCCCTAATAAACCTCACATGTTTTTCCTATGTATGCGTGTCTGGTGTGTGTGCAGATGTGTGGAGACTTGAGGCTGACATTGGCTACCTTCCCCAATTGTTCTTCACCTTCTCTATTGAGGCAGGCTCTCTCTCACTGAACTTGAGCTTACCATTTTGCTAGTCTGAGCTATCTCGATCACTTTGGGAAATCAGTCTCTGCCTCCCACACTGTGGGATTATGGGTAGGATCCCATACACACCTGGTTTTAAGTGGGTCCTGGGGATCTGAACTCTGGTTCCCATGCTAGAGCGGCAGGCACTTTACCTGCTAAGTCATCTTCCTAGCTTTCAAACTTCACAGTTTAACCGATATCTAATGTGAATTTCATGTCATTCAAGTTAGTGAAAGTTTTATCTTTTAATTTGCAAAGAATGAATCTGGATGGAGATCTTTTTGAGCCACTCAAGAAAGCTTGTCCTTAGAATAGAGCTAACAAAGTATATTCCAAAAAGACAACTGGTAAGATCACAGAGATGACAATAGATAGGGTCTCATTGTTCCTAGACACCTGCATGATTGTAAGCAGATGTTTCGGTATGGTGGGAATATTTACAGGATTTTCTCAGTGTCTGGGAGTTGCTACAAGGGACCTGCCCTGTAAGAGCAACCCACCATGCCAAGAGCCATGTCTCATGACAGCCTTGATGATCTTTGATTATAACTGTATTTTCAGTCTCAAAGAGTTTTTCATTTTGATTTTTTTTTTTTTTGTCTTATTGAGACAGGGTCTTTCTATAGCTTGTAGACCAGACTGGTCTCAGTCTCACAGAGATCCTCCCACCTCTGCATCTCAGGTGCTGGAATTAAAGGAATGCACTACCACACCTGGCTCATTTTGATCTAATTTGTAAAGAAACAGAAACCTTAAAGAATCCAGTGTAAGACCTTCAAAGGGCCATCCAGAGAAGCACATTCTAGAGGAGGTGAGTGGGCATCTCTGATGACTGACAGGGGAACCTCCCCGACTTGCACTTGGGTCCTCAAGTTGGTTTCTCTTCATTCCATGGAAGAATGCACTCTTACTAAGTAGATAGACTTTAAAAATTAATCATTCAGCTTTAGAGAAAGAGTTATGTTCAGAAGGCTGGGGAGATGGCTCAGCAGATAAAAGCACTAACTACACAAGCTCGATGACTAGAGTTCAAGCTCCAAAATCCATGAAGAAAGCCAGATGCAGTAGTTTGCATCCTGGAAGCTCACAGGCTAGCTAGGGTAGGGTTTTCATTGAGTCAGCAGAAATGACAAGAGAGACCCTGCCTCAAAGTACGTAGAAGTGAAGTTGTCTTCTTACCTCCACCCATGTCCTGGGGCATGCACCCCATCTCTCTCTCTCTCTAGCTCTCTCTCTCTCTCTCTCTCTCTCTCACACACACATACACACACACCACACTTAATTAAAAAATAATTATCAAGGCAGATATGGTGGTGCACAGCTGTCTATGTTTGAGGCCAACTTGGACTACGCAGTGAAAACCCAATCTCAAAATAAAGAAATAATGAAAAGAATTGTTTAGAACCCAGTACACTAAATTGGAAAAAATTGATGCTCAGGTTCCTAGAAACAAGCCTACAGGTATATTCAGAATGCAGTCTAAACTACTCCATCTTAAGAAGAATATGGAAGGCAACGCTGGGGTGCAATGGTAACTAAGCAACAAAAAAATCATAAAACAAAGGACTTTCAGGAGAGAATTGCAGTAAAATGTCAGAGAAAAAATAAGGAAGTAGGAATACGTGTGTGTGTGTGTGTGTGTGTGTGTGTGTGTGTATTTATCTTTTTGAGACAGGGTCTCTCTGTAGTCCCAGCTGGTCTGGAGCTCACTATGCAGACTAGGTTGACCTTGAACTCACAGAGTCTGCCTCTGCCTCCAGAGTGCTGGGATAAAAAACCTGGGCCACAATTCCCAGCCTTCATTTTTAATGCAAATTCTGTAAGAGGCATTAGAAGTCATTGACATTTGTAATTTCATCTATTTAATTCAAAATTGTGCCCTATTTGTTTTTATTAAGCATGTACTTGTTAATAACTGCCCTTTGCAATCTTTCACACTGTTACTTTGGGGATGGATAGCCAAGGGAGTAAATACACTAGTCAATTTAAGGAGAAAATTAACAGAAGAGACAGACACATTTTCCCAAGAGCTAGTTTTCCTGGAAGAATAGTTTATTGAGTACAAGTTAGGAAGGCAGTAGGCTATGCCCAGTGTGGTGGCACATGTCTTTAGTCTCAGCACTGAGAAACAGAGGTAAATGGATCTCTGTGAGGTTGAGGCTGACTTGGTCTACATAGTAAGTTCTAGACCTGCTGGGGCAACAGGGAGACCCTGTCTCAAAAAAACAAAAAAGAACACCAAAAACAAAACAAAACAAAAAAAAACAAAAAGAAAAAAGCAAACAAGCAAGCAAGCAGGGCAGTAGACTGGGCAGAAACTAGAGTACGGTCTTCAGTCTCCTAAGAATTATAAAAGAATGATGAGGGTGAAGGGGAGGACAGACTACACTGTGTGTGTGTGTGTGTGTGTGTGTGTGTGTGCGTGTGCTCATGCACTTGCTTGCTTGAGTGTATATGTTTGTGTAAAGTCAAAGGGAGTGTATCAGAGGCACAATTACTGATGTGGTAAAGCCCCAGGGATGAGAGATGGGAAGCATGTGACCGGATAGTTAGAAACTCCAGGTTTACATAAATTAGTCATGTGGTGTGGGATAACATCCAGGCACCGCCATGCCTTTTGGCATGCTCACAAATGCATAGTGTAAGAATTCCAAGGAATTAAAAAATGCTTTTGCTACATTTGTATCCTGTTACTTTGCCGAATGTTGATATTAGCTCTAGTTTTCGGGTGGAGTCTTTAGGGTCTTTTATGTATAGAATCATATCATTTGCAAATCAGGATATTTTGACTTTTTCGTTTCCAGTTTGTATCCCCTTTATCTCCTTCCCTTGTGTTGCTGCTCCAGCTAAAACTTCAAGCACTGTATTGAACAGCAATGGACAGAGTGGGCATCGCTGTCTCGTTTCTGACTTTAGGGGAAATGATTTGACTCTTTTGTTCTGCTTAGGATGATGGCTATGGGTTTCTTGTATATTGCCTTTATTATGTTGAGATATGCTCCCTGTATCTCTAGGTTTTTCATGACTTTTATTTTTATTATTATTATTTTTGAGACTGGGTCTCCCTGTAATTGCAGTTAGTCAGAAACCTGCTGTGTAGACCAGGCTGGCTTTGAACTCTCAGAGCTCTGCCTGCCTCTGCCTCCTGACTGCTAAAATTAAAGGCTTGAGCCCAGATTCCAAAGACTTATTATAAAGGAATGTTGGATTTTTCAAAGGTCTTTTCTGCATCTAATGAGATGATCATATGGTTTCTGTCTTTGAGTCTTTTTATGTGGTGGATTATATTTATTGATTTATGTATGTGAATCCATCTTTACATCTCTGGGATGAAGCTGACTTGATCATGGTGGTTGATCTTTTTGATGTGCATTTGAATTCGTTTTGCAGGTATTTTATTGAGAATTTTTGTATCTATGTTCATTGGGGTGATTGACCTATAATTTTCCTTTGTTGAGTCTCTGGTTTTGGTATCAGAGTAATACTGGCTTTGTAAAAATAATTTGGAAGTGTTTCTTCCTTTTCTATTTTACAGAATAACTTTAGAAGTACTGGTGTTAGCACTTCTTTGAAGGTCTGGTAGAATTCTGTGCTGACTTCATCTGGTACTGGGATTTTTTTTTTAAGTTGGGAGATTTTTAATTACTGCTTCCATCTCGTTGGTTTTCATGGGTCTATTTAAATTATTTATTTCACTTTAATCTAACTTGGATAGATGATATATATCTAGAAATCCACCCACTTCTTTTAACCATTTTGGGTTAGTGGAGTATAGGTTTTTAAGTATGTCCTTTTGATTCTCAGAATTTTACAAGCCCAAACCAGACAAAATCCCAGCATGGGGGTGGGGGGGATGGACAGGAAGCCACAGCTCAACTGAGGCACTATTGGCAAATGACAGCTGCTGGATGGATAAGGGTGTGATGTTGGGCAGGTTGACTGGGCTCTAAGGGGTGAACCCCCACATAAGAACACTTGTGGGAACACGAATTAGACTTGATAGGTTTTAAAAAATAATAGAGGAAGACTGAAGAAATGGCTCAGAAGTTAAGAGCATTTGCTGCTCTTGCAGAAGACCCAAGTTCAACTACCAGCACCCACATCAAGTCACTCACAACCACTTGCAACTGCAGCTCCAGAGGACCTGATGACCACTTTTGGTCTCCACAGGCACACACATACACAGAAATAAAACTTTAAAAAATAGAGGGCATGAAGTGAGAGGGTTAAGGAGGTGGAGTGGATCTGTGAGGAGATTGGGGGTGGCAGTCTGAATAAGATCAAAATACATTGCATGAAATTCTCAAAGAATCAATAAAGTTATTGTTTGAAAAAGATATGAAGTTGATTGTGGTGATATATGTTTTTAATCCCAGAACTCAGAGGCAGATCTCTCAGAGTTTAATGCCAGCCTGGTCTGCAGAGTGAGCTCTGGTTCATCAGGGCTGCTCAGTGAGACCTTGCCTCAAAAATAAAATAAAATAAAATAGATGACACAGCAAAAAGAATGCTTTTGTCAGTCAATTATAGAAAAGGAGCTGCCAAACATAAATCACTGTTCCAGACCTGTTTGTCCATTATGTAACAGCCTGCCTATCCATCAGGCTACCCAAGTCTCTAAGCAAAGTAGCCAAAATCTATGTCAAAATTATCCTACACATGCCTTTAATCCCAGCATCTAGGAGGCAGAGGCAGGAGGATCTCTGTGAGTTTGCAGCCAGCCTGGTCTACATAGTGAGTTCCAGGCCAGCTGGGGCTACAGGGAGACCCTGTCTCAAAAAGGGGAAAAAAAAAATCCTAAAAAGCGACTGGGAAGATGGCTCAGTGGATAAGAACTTGTCACAAAAGTGTGAGCACTGTAGCTCAAATTTCCAGGGTCCTTGGAAATTCTAGGTAGGCAAGGTGGCCCACTTGTAATCACAGTGCTGGGGAGGCAGAGACAGGACCCATGCAGTTAACTGGCTAGCGAAACTACTTGAATTGGTGAGCTCTGGTTCCAGTGAGGGACCCTGCCTCAGTATATATGGTGGAGACTGATCAAGGAAGACACCCAAGTGTCGACCTCTGGCCTTCACATGCATGCACAGACTTGTGCATGTATATCCACACACACAGATGTGCCCATACACATACGATCACACACACACTCATCATACGCATAGACATGCAAAAAATATCCTAAAGAATCCCATAAGAGATTTTAACCAGTAGAAGATAATGTCACAAAACTGTACAATACAAGCAAATTGAACCTACCTTGATGGATGGTCTTGATGGGTAACTGAAAGAAACATTTTTAAACTCTACAGTTCCTTCTATGCACTCAGGCTTATGTCCAGTTGTTGAAAAGTTGTCTATACTGGGTTTCTTGAGAAAACAAAGAAAGTGCTATAAATCTTTAAAAGGTTTAAAAAACCAATACTACCCATGTTCTAAAAATAGTTTAAAGATGAGTATTTTTCCTTTACAAATACTTCTTTCCTGGTTTAGAAGTACATTAAGTTAGACATGAAGCTTTCATTGAAACACAGCCCCCCCCCCAATTAAAAGCGATCTTTCCTTCCAAATAACTCATCAATGCTTTGGTGAAAAGAACGTGTCTGTTTGGGGGGGCCTTCTCACAGTGATGATAGTTATCTTTTAAAGCGATAGATATCTTACTATATCAATAACCTGGAAAATATTGAAGGCGGCTCCTCAGGCTATGGTGAAGGTCTCAAAGTGAGGGGCTGAGGACCCAATGGAATAACTACTGTGGATCACACCGAAGAAAACCTACAGGAGCAAAATAAATAGTATTTGCCTTTCTGCAGTTACACAAGAAAGATGACAGGTGACGTGCATACCTGAGTAGGCTCACAGAGAAATATTAGAGAAATTAGGTAAGAAAGTGGAAGCTGTGGCAGCTCTAACGGAAACGCGAGCTAATCCAAGTACTCCTGACCTTTTTTCCTATGCAGAATAACTTTTCACTACTGCTTGGTTTTGTGGTTATCATCTGCTGTGTGTGACATCTAAGTATGGGAACCTGTGGCCTGTGCAGTGCTGGCCAGGCACAAAGATGCAGGGATGGAGATGAACTGCTCATTGCATTTCCCCCTTATCTCTGGTTCAACAAGAGGGAGATTGAAGTCAATAGCTCAGACGTTGTGCTGTTTCTGCCCTGATTTAAAAATTCTCCCGCCTCCGAACAGCTATTCATTTTTAAACAAATGAACCTCTAGAAAATGTCAAACAGAGAACGTTCCCTGAAAGCTAGTGCTGCTGCCTTACCATGTGGATGGGAAACCAGAGGAGCAAGCATCAGCTACAAATTCTTCATGCTCACATTTCACTTTCATGAGATGAACCACTTAAAGCCTATGAGCCTCTCAATTTAAAAAGATGAATTTGATTGAGAGAAGAAAAATCTACATAAAATGGGAAGACCAAACAGAAACTGAAGTATTAGAGGAGATCAGTTTGACTCACCGAGACAGCTTTTTCTTAAACCTGCATTGATCTGTTTATGTTACTGAACCTTTGGAGGATATCTGAATAAACTAAAACTTCATACATAACCCTTATGAATTTAAAAGATTCTGACTTGCAGTGTTGGACAGAACTGCATGTAGTTTGCTTTAAACATGAATATATTTGAAAGGCTAGAGGAAGGGCAGGTGAGCCCAGGCTACAACTGCATTTCCAGCTGGCAAGGTCTATGCAGACTGTGATCTTAGCTGAATAAGTTTGAGAGGAAATGTCTGCCCACAAACCTGCCTTTTTCACTCCTGGCCTAAGAAAACCGTGTCTATTAGTGGAGAATTAGTGTGATTCTTCTAAAAGCATAATGCTTGGCACAGATGTGGATAAAAGACATGCTGGATGAGTAAATCCTGTTAACACTATACATAAGAATTTAGAAGTGTATGCAAATCATGAGAGGGCAACAAATACTTTTGTTATTGTCTTTTTGATCTTTTTGAACAGGGTGTCTCTGTAGCCCCAACTGACCTGAAACTTGCTATATGAACTATGCTGACTTCCATCTCATAGAGATCCACCTGCCTCTCCCTCCTGAGTGAGTGCTAGGATTAAAAAAGTATGCATTGCTGCCCCCACCTCCCTTGCTTCCCTGGGATGCACAGCCTACAGCGTCCTGGTGCCAGAATCTTTCCTGGGTAAGTCCAGTGGCACCCACCATGCCTTGACTCTCCTAGCCTCATTCGCTCTCCCAGCTCCTCCACCCCATCTCTCCTCCTGGCCTGGGTACTGGCCCATTTCTTGTCTTGGCACCACAGACACTGGGGCTGACCTCTTGGTGGAGAGTCCCCACTGCTTCCTGATCTGTTGCATCCAGACCAACCCAGTTCCTCCATGCAGTCCCCAGGAGCCTTCTGGGCCTGGTCCCACCCCCACCTACTTTTGCTTCCTTGGGTGGCTCAGCCACCAACTTCCTGGTGCTAACATCTTTCCTGGGTGGGTCTCGCCGGGCACCCACTGTGCCTTGAATCCCCCAGCCTCATTCACCCTCCCAAACCCCTACCCCCATCTTTCTTCCTAGCCTAGGTACTGGCCCAATTCTTGTCTTGGCACCCCAGACCCCTGGACTGAACTCTTGGCCCAGAATCCCCACTGCTTCCACATCCTTTGCATCCAGACCAACCCAGTTCCTTCCAGTAGTACCCAGGAGCACTCTGGACCTCCTAGCACCCCCACCTCTCCTTGCATTCCTGGGTGGCACAGCCACAAGCTTCCTGAAACCAGCATATTTCCTGGGCCCTGTGCCCAGGCCAGCCCAGGCCCCAATTTCCTGAGGGCAGCATCTTTCCTGGAGGGATCCAGACCTTAGGAGAAAACCTGAGAACAACTGATCCTTATCTGAATTGGGCCTCTGGGGGAAACTCCTGAAGGCAAAAGCATTTTGGCCACTCCAATATAAAATCAAAAGAGAGAAGCTGAAGCCTAGACCAACCAGCTTTTCATGCCCAACAAGTACCACAAAAGGCATATAAAATTTACAAAAAAAAGCAGACCTAAACTCAACAAAGGAAGACTTGGGTCTCACACAAGAATCAGAAACTACAAAAGCAATTCACATGTCAAAGTCACAGAGAAAAAATAGTAATATGAAAAACCAAAATAACATATCCCCACCAAGTACCAATAGTCCTCTAGAGGAGTACAATGAGAACCCCCTAGAGATAACACAGGACATTGAATTCAAAAGAACAATTATAAACAAGATAGAAGATTTCAGTGAATTTAAAGAACACACAAACAAAGAAATCAAAGAACTGAAAGAAGATAGGGAAAAACTGCTGAATGAATTCAGAAAAACATTAGAGATATTGAATAATACTCAGGCTGAAATGAAGAAGGAAGTAAAACACTTAGTAATCCAATTAGAAATGACAGGAGAAAGCCTCACCAATAGGACGAATGAAATGTAAAACAGAATACCAAGACTGGAAGAAAAAGTGGACGAACTGGACCACTCAAGCAAAGACTATGAAAAATTTAAGAAATCACAAGAATGGAATATGCAGGAATTGAGTGATACC